ATGGCCAGTGCCTCTGCAAACACCGTGCCGCTTCGCTTGCCCTCAGGCGTTGTAGCTGGTGCTTGTTTAAGGAATTTTGGCACTGTTTCTGCGGAGCGCAGTGGGTCCAATGGACTCTTTTAACCGCGCAGATGCAGTGGACACAGGGTAGGTCTCCATGCCTGCGCTGCACGACTCCCTGTCTTTTTTTGGAGGGAGCAAACCCGACTCCCCTCTGGTGTCCTCTTGTTTCACTGCTTACCGGATTAACATGCTCTATGCGCACCTCCTCAAGCTGGGACACTCGACAAGCTGGCCGTGGGAAAGATGGTGATGCCCAGACCTCGGCGTGGCTGACACGTGGCTGCAACTCGGCGGCGGCTTAGGGATTCAAAGTCTGTCTTTCTCCAACAACCACACGGTCCGTGCCACATGATCGTTCCTGCCCGCGCAAAACCCAGCCCAAGTCCATTGTTAGGTTCTCTCTGTCTGCACCCGGTTCTCCCCCACCCCCACGTGTGTTCCCGGTGTCTGGGGGAGTTCTTTGCCTGTTAGGGCTTGTGGGGGGAACAAGAGGTGTAAAATTTTTCTCCGTGGACAAGTTTAAGTTTCTCTGTGAGATTTTTAAGATGTCCACATCTTCTATCTTTGCTTTCTCTTGAGCTGTCTCTCCAAATTTTTTCCAAGCAGTCACACTAAGGATTCTGCTGAGCAGAAATCCTGGTATAGTTATTTCTATCCATTTTAATGGTCCGAGTAGCTTGGTTTGCAAGGTTTCTTTTGAATATTGCCTCAATGCTTTTGCATTTATGTCTGTTTCCCTTAAATTTAAACTTCTCGTGCCAGCTTCTTACCTGGGCTCTACTGTAGCTTTGCCTTTTTTTTCCTTCAAACCTTACTCTGCCAGGTCTCCCGTGCACACAATACTCAGATTCTCGGAGTTCCCCACGTGGTCCCTACACCACGATGTCCCAGTCCTTTTCGTACTGAATCCGACATCGTTTCTTTAATGATGTCCTCCGCCTGCTTCTAGCTCAGTATGTGACGTCTGGCTTTTTTCCTCCAGAATCCTTTCCTCAGCTTTAAAACAAGCGCGTGCGAACACTACCGTAATTCTCTTTGTTTCAAGGCAGTCTCTGATCATCCCTGTTACAGGGAAAGGCCCACATTCAGGGCACCAAATATGGCTTTATTAATATAATAAATAAATAAACCCACATAGACCCAACTGCTTGGGGGTCCAACAACAAAATTCCTTTATTCAAATGAGACAATAAGTTACATGTGAGTTCAAACAGTAACAGGTCACAGCAGGTGACCTTAACAACCAGTCACACCAAGGCACTTCATTGCATGTGTGATTGAGTACTTGGGAAACTACATCTCCCAGAGTGCTATTCAGCACCCTGCCTATAACACGATCCCCACAGCTGGATATATCAGTATTGCACCCTATTAAATAGAAATAGCCTCAAAACAGTTTTATTGTTGATGTGCACAGGACCATGATGCAACAACATACAAACAAGCAGTTCAGATCTGGAAGTGATTTGTCCCTCTTTTGGGTTTTATTGGCAATTTTCCAAGCCTTACTGGGTCCTCTGTAAGTAGCTGAAGTGCACCTCCACATGACTCTGCAGTGGTTTTGATTCTACTGTTATGTATGCAGAAGCCAGCCTGATTTTGGCTCTGTAGTTTAACTCTGCAGTGATTTCTAAGGACAAGTAAATGCAGTTCGGAGAAATGAAATGAGGACTTCTGCTTTGCTGCAAAGACTTTTTCTTCACTAGCCAAAGCAAAAAGAGATTAAAGTACTGACAGTAATGAAGTTCTGTTGCCATATGTCATTGTCAATATTGTTAATGATTAGTGGATTAAGTTCCTAAAGTTTACCACAGAAAGTTTATGACTTATTTTAGTGATCAAAGCAGGAGAGGGCTTGTTTATGTACGATATCGCTCTGTTTCCTTTGGTATTCTTTAGTAAGAAAAAAAAGAAATACATAAATGAGGAGAGAGAGTAGCAGAGGGAGAGATAATGGAAACATAGCCTTTTGTCATCTATGAGAGGCAATCTATAAGCAATTTTATTTTTAACAGAATGTTACCAGTTGAATTTAGCTGTTTAGATAATTACAGTCATTAAGTATTTACATGAAGTGAGCTTCGGAATGGTTAGGAAACTAATAGTGTTGTGTATTTCAATATTCGTATATTGGTGGATTTGGGTTTTTTGTTTTGTTTTGTTTTGTTAATAGAAAGGAAATCTGACGTTCTGGATAGAAATTGGTAGAGAAAAAGATTTGGATATAAACATGGATTAATTTTGGTGCTATAATAGATGTAACTTAAGTGTGTTGAGAATTTTGGCCATTGAAAAGTGCATTATCTTTAAGCTTCTCTTTATTCTCTTCCTTTGGAGCAAAATGAAAAAGCCTGTACAATTTAGGAAAATACTTGACTGCTTGAATAAATTAATGTAATTAGTCAGTCCTAGCAAGTCACATATTCTCATTTCTCTTAGTGCTGGATCCTATTTTCTGTTTTTAGAAAAAAAAAATTAAGGGAGTGATTGTTTAAATAAATGAGTGGCCTCGACTGTAGAAATTTCAATGTATGATATAAGATTACTAGACAACAGGTAAAATAATCAGTGCAGCTTTGCAAACTGATTCTCTGCTAGGCTAAACGTCAATAACTTAGACCAAGGGGTAGACAATGAAACTCCTGCTCTCAGTATGTGACAAACTCACTACAGTATGTTTATCACGCATAGTTAAACTTTACAGCTGCAGCCACACTGATTGTCAGCTGCTGACTGCAAAGATGTTGCTGCCAGTTTTGCAGCAAGGTCTAGTTAACATCTTCACATCTTATCTAGGGACAAAAAAAAAGACTACAAAACCAAAGAATCTCAAGATATTTAATCATCTGCTTCTTGTCCTGTGCAGAGCTGACAAAGCATTGCAGTTAGTCACAATAGTTTGCAAACAAAATGTCTTCTTAGCCGTGTCTGTTCTTTTTGTGGTAACTAACTTCACAAAAAGATGCGCAAATTAGGAAAATCGGGATACTTTTATCATTTATGTAGGACAGCTTGAAGGAAAGTGCAGGACACAGCTGGTATTCTGGATTTCAAAGGCCAAAAACCCATCTCTCTTGACAGTGCAATATGGCAAGAGGCTGAGAGAGGACTCTGAAAAACAGTAACATTTGTCACTAATTGCATCTTATCCTTTTGTGCTTCACTAGATATTATGGAGATTGACTAATGAATATCTGTGAAGAATTGTTTTGCAAAAGTTGTGATTACCAAAAGCACAAAACACTGTGTGCTGAAGTATGTTATGCTATCTTTCCAAGTAGACTTTACTTGTATGACTTGTTTATTACAGTGTAAAATCATGGGCATATTTCTGTACCCATATGTTTGTATTCACTTTTCCAGAACAGATTGGAAATTATCCCAATACAGAGTCTAAACTGATATACTAATGGAAAACAAACTTTAAAAAGGCATTTCTATTATCTAGAATAAACTCCCTTATACTGAAATATTATTCAATTTTTTTTAAAAAAGAAATTTTACACTTTGTTTTGAAAAGCCTTGTCAGTCTATGAAGTTGTGATCACTCATTTTCATTCTCTACTATATTAAATTGAATGTCCTTTATATTGCTTTATTTTGCTGAAATATGTTTCAGTAATGCTGTCTGACTTTTTCCCTTGGGATATTCATGAAAACGAGATGTGTAGCATATGAAGTCAGACCAGCAGGAAAATTTAAAATACAGTAACCCCTTCTAGTCTTTCTCAAAATAACTGATATAAAAAAGTATCCATGCTGTTTTAATGGTTTTCTAGAAAAAAACCTATAGTTTTATGTATTACTTATATATATCTTTTTTGCATAGGTATAGAACTAATGATAATTCCTATCTGATATCCCTTAATAGCAAAACAAGATAACAAGAACAACCAATGCTTTTCTCTCCTTGGAACTGGAATAGTATTAGGTTTCAGAATGCAAGAAGGTATTTTCAACAGAAAAACATTTTTAAGTTGTATTTTAAATAAAATATAGTCTATACATGACCAATACTTTTTCAAACTAGTAGTGATTACACAAATATGTCCTGCATAACACTTTTGCTCATCCTCAAAGTTCAGTATATTTCTTGCTTTTTATTTGCATGCAGTCTTTCTTCTAATTTGTGATTTACACAAACACAATGTAGTTTGGTGGTGATTAGATAGCTCAAAATATTAAAATAGCTTCCACAATTCTTTTGGAAAGATACATTTGTAAAATGAGGCTTGTAATACTTTTTAGCAATACTCTGTCGTATAGCCTCAATTTCCATATCAGGATGTCTTAGCTGTTTGTGTTCAGAAATTTTTTACTGTGCTGTAATCAGCAGTCTATATTTCACTTAAATACAGGCTTTGATAGGTTATTTTTGATATGCATTTGATAAGATTTCTTTTTGTAAGCAGGGTTTAAAGTTAATTTGTTATTGTCATGTTACAGAAGTAAGATCTGCATGTCCATGGTTCTAACAACTAAACAAAAGATACTATGTATTAAAATTTTGGATAAATATAATCCATGATTTCTGACCAAGAGTTTGGCATTTAGTTGCATGAATCAAAATAGGTATGTAAAAATTATGTCAGTTCCGTTATACAAAAAAGCTACACATTTTACAACAAATGCATTATTCTGTGTCTTTCCTCCCCTCACCTTCTTCCAATCATTTACTACTGGTGGCTTTAGTACTTTTATCTAAATTTTTCATGGAGCTTCACTATCTGAAGAACTAGAGGGAGCTGTCTGTCAGGACTGCTTTCTGTCAGGATGGCAATTTTCAGAACAGATCTAAAAGAACTAAACAAAACCCAAAGCAGACAGTGGATAACATATATCAGTCTTTGTTGCCATGAAGTATAAAAATTCATGTTAACTTCAAAGTATATGTTTTAAGAATGAAAGAGAAGTTAAGCATCTAATAAGGATTGCACTGCAATGGAATTTACCCAGTAATTTCTTCAACAAGCTTGCAAGGTTTTATCCTGTTGTAATACTTTCCTACTACTACTTTTTCAAGCAAGGAATTACTGTTATTACTACACAAACATTATGTACAAACTGCAAAGTAGTTTGGTTGTGGGACCAAACTATTCTCTTTGAGTATGAAGCATAATTTGGTTGTCAGGCTGAAGTCTAATGTATACTTACAGAGAAATAGAATTCTCCTAGTTTCACACATGTGCTGCAGAATTTTGACTTAAATCTAAGCAAATATCAAACTCTTTCTGAAAACATTTCTTTCAGGTGCACTGTTGCAGCAAGTTTTCAGGATTCTTTCAATTTATAAATCATTTTTGTTCCCACATTCTCTCACTCAGAGCTTGATCATTTTGTTTCTACCAGCAGTGAAGATTCTCTGGAAACTGTTCAGGCCCACATCATAAATCATGCCTGGAGGACGAACACCTGCCATGTGAAAGTCATTCACCTTTCACAGTGAAAGGATGTTATGCTTAGGAAGCTGCTGAATCACAAACATTTCCTACCTACCACATTAGCAGGTTGTTTGATATTCCATGTCTTCCTTTTGTTTCCTTACTGCACCCATTTGTCTGTCTTCTACTTGAGTGACAAGTCACTTGGCATGCATTCTATTTCCGGTGAGCATGACGGACTGTTCTCTGATCTCAAGAAACAATCACAAAACCTCATATTTTAGCACAGAAGCCCCTAATCAGGTCTCATGAGACTCTCTATTTCTATTTTCACAGCCTCTACCTTCCTTTCTACTCCTTTTTGCCCATCACTCAATATGTGAAAGAATGTAAATATAATGTTCTTTATTTCTGCATAAGAGAAGCAAGATACTGCTTCATCGCTGATTTAAGAGTTCTTAGCTGTATCATAAGGATATTGAATTTCTTTTCTTTGAAGCTGTCACTTAAACATGTTGTATAAGCCATTCATTTGGCAGCCTTTGGGCATGAAAATCGTAATGTTAGTGATGCAGTTTCAGATCCTTGGGGTAATACTAATTTGGAATAACACTTCAATAGATAAGGGGAATACAAACTCACATCATCAAGGGACATTTATGGAGGTTTCAGAGAAACTTCAGTTTCCTTGGCAGCTAGAAACTGCAGGAGAATTTAAACGACAACAGTTTACAAAAAAACAAGTCTGTGTTAATTTTCTATTTGACTTCTAATAATATTTTTTTACCTTCAGAATTGAAAATTCTCTGTTACCAAAAGCTTCTACTAGATTTATGACATTCTTGGGTTATTTTAACTTCTAGATAAAAAGTTGGGGGTTTTTTTTGGTTTCTTTTTTTTTTTTTTTCAGTAATCTTAGCCTTCCTCCTAAATCTTTATACTTGAAATGCTTTCTGTAATTTTTTATTTTTTCACTTACTTGCAAACCTTTAAAAATGTTCCAAATACCTTCCAGTTGAAAAGAATAAAAGAAGTTGAAATGAGGATGTCTCTTTTGACACTTTTCAGGTTTTTTTCATCATAAAATACACTCAATATGTGCAGGGAAGTGAAAGAACAAAATATTTGAGGATGAACTACATAATCTCTTTCAGTGAGACAGACAATTAATCTGGTTTCTGAGGTAAAAAGACTACTACCCGCACAGAATAAGCATTATTTATTTCAAATAAACCATGCACCACTTCACTCACAGATGCTTTGCAGCAGAAATGAAGCTAAAATCCAGTTTCATATGGTACTAGTGGTTACTTAAATCATTAGACCTCCCTTAAATTTGTTTTCCTCCTTAGCTTCCAGATAACCTTCCAAATTATAAGAGAAGAATTCACTTTTATTAAACAATCCTGCATCATCCTCTGAATACAACAAGGCAGTGTCTTGAATAAGAAAAAAGCATTGTGGGAGATTTGTTTAGTGATTTAGAGATCCATTCACAGGGGGACCGAATAAAATAATAAAATAAAAGTGGTAGAGAAAAACTTAATTCTGGCAGCATCTTTCCCTCTGTCAAGGTTCCCAGTCTGTGCAAGTTTCATGCTTCACACTAATGCAGGATTATTGTAAAATACTTGTTGCTGTCAAATTGTTACTCAATTCTTCTAGATTTGGAGGTGGTCATGGTTCTAGATACCTAAGAAAAGGAAATGCATATATATATATATATATATGTATATATTTGACGCTTTAAATTGAATTCTTGATTTGGCAGTGTAGTAGACTTCCATCTTTTTTGAGTAATGATTAGTCCAAGAGCCACGTAGAATTATCTAGCATACAGAAAGCTCTGAATTACCAGTTCTCTGTTCAGCTTATCTGTATAGGTGCTAAGAGAAACCATACCAGGACTTGGAACATCATCAGGTGCTCCATATACATCTCTCTTCAATAGTGTCTTAACTGTGATTTTACTATGATGATGACAAATCAAATCAATCAAATAAGGAAAAAAAATGCGATTGAGTCATCAGCTGACCCTTTTCTGACTCACTGGTGTGATACTTGCCCATGTGAGTGAGTTCCAGCAGGTGTATTTATGGCCTTTTTTAATGGCATATATAAACTACATTTGCTACTAGGAAAGCAACATTGTAGGCGTTGAAATTCATGATGATTATTTCTCTCTTAAGGTTTCTAAACTCTCTTAGCCTTCAGTTCCAGATTCTCAAAGCATGCAGTAATTCTCTGAAAATGAAACGTGATTTTCCTTGCTTACATGACAGAAAGGCAGTTTCTTGACCTAATGAAGATAAAATGTATAGGTTTTAGTTCCAGAAGAAGCACAAATTAGAAGACTAAATAAAATCATGTCTGTGTTGCATTTTGCTGTCTCTGTCCTGTAGGTGGAGATGTCTGCTGGTCCACAAAATTACTTGCTGGTGTCATTCTCCCTAATTTACAGAGAGGAAGAAAGAAAATATTATTGATTTAGCCTTGATCAGTCCAGTGACGAGCCTATGGAAGGGCTCTACAGAGAAGGTAATTGAGGAGACGGTGAACTGCAATAAGGAGTTATGAGCAGTCACCAGTGCCCCTGGGAGGGGAAACTGGATTTGTTATGGTTTTGCCTCATCAAAGATATACAAGTAACACCCCTCAGTGATGCTTCCCCCCCCCCCCCCCCACCGTGATACTGAAAAGCTCATGTGATTTATGTAAAATACAGAAAACATTTAATATTGCTAAATTTAAGTCTTCTGACTGTTGAACTTCTTATAGCACTTTCTTTCTTGGCCTGATTTTTGGGTAAAACCCAGTTCTTCAGAAATACTGATGTTTTCCAAATCTGTTAAAAGATATATGTGCATGGGTGTCGTAGTTTGAGACCCCCCAAAATCCAATTTCCAAGTCCAAGCTCCACTCCCACAATTTGGTTCAGTGTGAGAGGGTTTTCCAGACATACCACAAGACTCAGTATGGGGGGAAGGGAGTTATATTACAATTATTACTTAAATGAATACTATAATACATTATATACACAATCCTAACTATCACTCCTATGGTAAAGCAATATTTATGTTAGACCAAGTCCCTCCTCTCTCTCCAATAAAAGTTCAGACGGGAAGAAGGAAAGATTCTTTCCACTTTCAGGGCAACAGTGTCTCTCCTCTTCAATGCAGCAGTCATAGCTGGATTTGTCGTAGCTGGAAGATTTCTCTCTCCATTACAATACAAGGGGTCTTCTCTCACCCTCTTCGGCTCCAACCGAAGGTCTCTCTCCTGTGGGCCGCAAAGCAGGGACAAAACTCGCTTCACCACAATCATATCACGAAGTGCAGGGCATCTTTGTGAAAGTCCCTTCCTCAGGAGATTTAAGCTCCTCCTGAGTTAGAATGTTTAAGGCAGCTTTCAGTTCAGTCTTTGCCCCAAGTGTCCTGCCAGAGCTCCTTTGCTCTGTCTCAAACTGCCAGCGTGGCAGCAGGTGGGGGGGGGCAAGGCCACTTCCACTGCATTCCATCCAGCCCCTTCTGATCCAGCTTCAGAATGTCTCTGAGCTTCTTAGCTCCTCTCTCCAGTGCTGCTGCATTTCAGGACTCCCTTCAAATGGAAGTCCACTCCCTCCCTTTAAGAGGGGTCTCCAAGGGTTTTTTGGAAAGTAATTAAGTCTTACCCCAAAAACAGTCTCTGCTGAGTTTTCTTTGCTCTGTTGCAAGCTTTCCCTCCTGCAGGAACATCTCTGTGTCTCCCAGTCTGGCTATGTGCCATCTTGCTGCTTGCTATCTCTTTTGGGTCTCAGCCACAGTTCTCTGTTCAGTGCTGCTCCGCCACTGCTTTCAGTGTCTTCTGCTGCTGCTTATAGTGGAGAAACTCCCCCAGCCTTTGACGACGGCACCCGGTCCAGTTTTAACACTACACTGGGTCTCCCGTAGTCTCGGCTGGGGGCTGGAGGCCTTGGGCCCCAGTGGGGCTTGCTGGCCCCTATCTCCTTGTGGTCTCAGACCATGGCTGCCTCTCTTCCAACTACATCATCCTCCTTCTTTTCCGGTCTGGTGTGATATGTTTTAGTTTTGCAGGGGTGCTGATTGGGTCAACACCAAGAAACACCAACCCCCTGGAGTTAACCACTTTTCTAACTCCAGGGGAAAACGCTTTCCCAACCCAGGACAACGGGTGTTGGAACTATGTATTTGAAAAGTTTTTCCTCAAAGGCACCGTGAAAAAACAGACAGTTAGGAGGAGGAGTGCTCCAGTCAATTGAGTATGAAGGCTAAAGCTTACTTGCTTGGATTCCTACATATAGGTCAGCCTTTAAAACATCTGTGGACAACTCATTAAAATACATAATGCTTCCTAAAATGTCCCCTTAGAAGTTGTTTCCAATATTACATTTCTAGTTCTGGTACAAAACTGCCAATCTGATTAGCCTAGATTTGCAAGATACAGACACTGGAAAGGCAGTATTGGCAAACTATTTAATGTCAGTTTTAGATTTGACATAACTTACAAAAAATTCCTCTACTGCATAAGAGAATTAGGTTTATTTTGCTCTATGACTGTTTTATCTTTTATCTGTTCCAATGTAAATTGACATTACTTGTGGTTGTTATAATTTAAAATTATTAACATGATCATTCTCTCCATATATTTATAATCTTGTTTAATTAAAAAAATGTTTAGCCACTTTTTGAACCTGGTAAACCTTCGAAGCAGTGAAAACATGCTTATTTGGAAATATGTCATACTATTCCATAATAATATTTCATAAATTCACACAAACACACTTTTCCTTGAATCTCGGTTATATTCCCTAACATAATTAAATTAATATGTGTCCCAGAAAGCAAAAGGGGTATTTAATGTGCTTCAATTGCTCTGTCATAGGGACCTTTGGGCATGTCAACAAGAAAAAATAAGTTGTTAATTTTATGAATTGAAGATATTAAAAATAATAAATCTTGCATTGATGTATATATTTAAGATAATACAGCTTTTTTTATCTTTGTTAATTGAATGTAAATATAATGTATTCCAAATATTCTTTTATCTCAGTATCAGAGACCTCTGCCTTAACCATGAGGCAGACTGAGATTTTCTCAGAACCACCAAACTTTCCACCAGGGGAAGCAGAATTCTTTACAAATAAGAATTTTTCACTGATAACTGTGTCAAAAGACCCCATCAGGTTTAAATATAGAAACTATTAATGCCAACTCAGTTGTTCTCATTTCTACTCTGCTGAGTGAAGACAGATATACTGGGCTGTGGTGGCAGGGGACAAACCAGGACTTTGCAGGTCAGAGTTTGATGAAGGTACTCCAAAGTAAGTGGAGGGATGATGTGCACTAATCATCTGAGCCGCATCCTGGGCATGTTCTCCAGAGTCAGTTTTTCAGCAGACGTGGTGCTATGCAAACCCTCTGCTGTGATGGAGTTGTTCCAGCCCTAGGACAGAAACAGATGACCACCTGGGCACACTGCTGGGTCATGTTTCTTTCTAATATTTTGAAAAATATTTGACTTTTATATTTTTAATTCAAAATATTTATGTGAGGGGGTTTTATATTCAAACATTTAAAAGTTAGGGAATTTTTTCTGAAATATGCATATATATGTCTTCATTTTTGTTCATTACAAAATGAAATATAGAAAGCAGGAATTTCCAAAGAGAAAATATTTATGACTTGTTTAGCTAACCAGTTTCAAGAATTTCTTTAAAGTGTTTTTCAGTGTGGGATGCTCTGAGTTAACCTAATTATGCTAACAGTTATAGTTCTTCCCACCATAATTAAGGTGCAGATGGGTGAAACGTAATAACCGATATTATAAACATGACCTTTTTTATTACATGTTTAATTTGTTATAGGAATTACTGCTTCAAAACTACTGTATTTTGCTAATCCACATTCATGTTTCCATTTTCAAGTAAAAGCATCTGTTCTTGAAAATGGATATTGACCTTTACCTCATTTTGCATATTTTTTTTTTGTATTTTCCAGGCAGAAACCAAAGAATGTTTTATGTTATTAGGGAAATCATTGGATGTGTAGATGTGGTAAGAGCAGCAGTCGTATTTACTGTATACTGCGGTGTAAATGAACGTTGCATGTTCTGTCCTGGTGATAGAATCCCACATCTCATTTAAAGCCGGCACAGACTGTTTGAAGCTGTGTTACTGAACTGCAGTGCAGATGTAATTATCCCTTCTCTGAACTGTGTATGCTGTGCAGTTTCTCAGAGAAAGTACTTATGTTAGCATGTAGATGCCTTAGAGGAGCTGCAATTAACCTCACTTTTGATTCTGAAATATGAAAAAGGTTCCTAAACCACACTATCTCATAGAATATATTATTATCTTTTATGCAGATCAGTGTAAATAAGATCTTCTGATGCATAGGAAAAGAAGGTAGAAATAGAAGCATATCAGTGTTGGTTGAGTCCTGGATTGTGTCAAAATTTAGCCTTGAACACTGTGGGGTTTATTTTTCTTTCAGGTTGACAAACTGGTGGCCACTGCTTGATTGAGGCAGTCAGATTTAGCTCTGGTAGATTTCCCTCCTCCAGCAGGAGAATTATGGGATTGATCTGTATAATTTGAAGCATTACAGCTGTAACATTGTTGTTCTGTCCTGTACATACTTATTTTTCTAGACTGCTGTACTACTTTGGAGTACAGTAAGATTGATGTAGATATTCTTTCACTCATGTATTTTTCATACTGCTCAGCAAATATTTTGCAGGTTTCTGCTCAACTGGTACAATTTCTGTTTGCAGAAGAGAAAATGTCAGAAATATTATTAAGAATTCTGAATACTTTTATCTTTGCAAGATGCAGCTCATGATTTTACCTTAAAATGTAGAAGAAAAATAAGAAAAGATTTGGCTGTTAGTTATAGAAACATGCAAAGAAACTGCCGTGTTTGTCTGCTTTTATTTTGGTAATACAACGTATTTTGTCTGTTCATATTATGGCAATATAGTGTTTTTTACCATATTGTGGAATTACTGATGTTTGAACTGATATTGCTGATAAATGTCCTAAGTCACAGTAAAATCTCCTCACCTAAGCTATGATTAAGCAACATGGCTCACACTGAGAGGTGCTTTGCCTTAGGCTGGCACATTGCCTAAGATATACTAAACAACTTGTTCTAATCATATTTGTGTTTTCTGTTGCTCCACACTGTAATGGTATGGACTGTGTAGCATATGGTATTATAAATTCTCAGTTCTTGTACTGATCATTTAAGTTTTTGCTACAATTTAGACATACTCTCCTTGAATGAAATTTTTTTATTTTAAATAGTTTAAAGGATAGCTATTTCCATTCTCATGCCTGGCAACTTGTAAACTGCAGTCTTGTAAACTGCATGCTTATTTTAGTACTTCTCATAATTACAGCGCTCCAAAATATGTTGCTTAATTGTGTTTTTTTTTTTCCTCCTTGAAAGTT